CGGGGCGGGGGGCGCTGCGGGGCGGCCCGGCTGAGGCGGCTGCGCCGCGGGGGGGTTTCCCGCCCGCCCGGCGCGGCGGCCGCGGGCTGAGGGCCGGCGGAGAGCCCCGGGAGCGGAGATAGAAGGGGGGGGGGGGGGGAGAAAGAGACGGAGGGAGGGAGGGCGGGGAGCGGCCCCGCCGCGCCGCACGCACGCAGCCGCCGCGCGGCACCGAGGCACGCGGGAGGCGCTCGGCCGAGCCCCGCCGCCGCCCCGTCCGTTCCGCCGTTCCCCGCCTCGGGGGCGGCTGCCCCCGGCCGAGCCTCCATCTGCAGCCCGGCGGCGGGAGCGGGAACATGGCGGACCTGGAGGCGGTGCTGGCCGATGTCAGCTACCTGATGGCGATGGAGAAGAGCAAGAGCACGCCGGCGGCCCGGGCCAGCAAGAAGATCACGCTGCCCGAGCCCAGGTACCGCCGGCTAACGGTCCGCAGCGGAGGGCACCAAGGGCGGTGGCGGTGGGGGGTGGGCAGCGCAGCCCGACTCCTTCGGGGCGGCCGGGGGGGGTTGGTGGGAGCGGGGATGCGGGATCCCGAGAGCAGCGCCGTGACCCGGAGCTCCCGGCGGAGCGGTGGTCTGAGCGCAGCCGGCCGATGGATGGAGCCCGGCAAGGCGCCGTGCCGGCTAGCGGGACGAGCCGGCGGGACGGCAAATCCCGCATAGTGCGTGCCGCAGGAGGGGCGGGCGGCCGTCGGCCCGGCGCTGCCCTTGCAGCCCTCGCCCTGCGCTCCCGCGAGCGCAGCCGGAGATGAGCGCTTCGCTTCTGCTCGCCCCGTTGCCGCGCCGGGCGGCGGTTGTCGCTCTCTGGGCTGCGCGCCGTGCCAGCCGCCCGCTGTGCCCAGGGCACGAGCCGCCCGCGGGCTGCAGCCCCAGCAGGTGCGCCAGCGCCGTGCCGCGCTCCGTGCCCGTTTGCGTGGCGCGGGGTTCAGGGCGCCGTGCGGGGCTGTGAGCGGCGGGGAGGTGATGCGGCCGAACCGCTGCACGGGCAGGGCTGACTGTGCAAGGACGCGTCTGCAAACCGCGCTGATGATCGAAGGAGATACTGGCAGCTCCGGTGCTCGGAGGAAGGTGGGAAGCGGTTTGCAGCCGTTGCTGGCACGGGAAGCGGCGGCTTGCCTCGGGCCAGGGGGCCTGGCAATGGGCGCAGCTTGGCCCAGAGCAGGGATTTCCTCACGCAGGAGGAAGCAGCGACTGTTGCTCTGGTGTCAGATGTCTTCGTACTGGTTTCTGGTCGTTTTTTTGATGGTGTTTTTTTTTTTCCCCCCCCCCCCCCCAACCTCCTTCGTTAGAACCACCACGATGCGTTGGGCATACTTAAATACTGTGTGCTACTGGCAGATGGATCCGTGTACAATTATATAATACAAATCAACTGCTTGCATGCAGGTTGGTATAGTAACAGCAAAAACCCACCGCCGTGCACAGAAAGTCTGTGTTCCTCTCTGGGTCTGCAGTTGAGCCCTTTCCCCAAGGAGATTTTGGCTTTCTCTGTGTGCAGAGCCAGGCCCTGCAGCACCACAGCCATGCTGCATAGCCAGGAGCAGGCGATGGCAGGGATGTGCTGCAGCTCCAGCACCGTCTGCTCCAGGAATGCTGCAAAGATCTCCTTGCTCTCTGCAGGTCGTGCTCTTGCTGGAGCCCGGTGCACCTGTTGGCACCAATTTGTGTCTCTGGGTTAAGTGATGCAAAGCAAAAGGGATGGGTTTGCTGCAATGCCTGTTTGCGAGGTAAGAGCTGTAGGGCAGAGCAGATTCCAAGGCTGCGGGCCAAGGCTCAGCAGCAACCAAGCTGTGAGGGTGAAGTTTGTTGGCTGAGGGGCTGCTGGTTGCTGGGCTCATGTGGAGCATCCTCAGATTGTTTGTGCGCCTGAACTGTTAAATGTCACAGCTCGGGAAGAACGAGGGCAGAACGTGCCAATGGGACACGTGTGCCTAGGGAAGAGGCTGGGCTGGTGATTTTAAGCACCAAACCCAAACAACCCTCTGTGTGTTCTCTGTCGTCTGCTTTTCCTTCCTTTCAGCATTTCCTCCGTTCATTCCCAGGAGCTGGGAGAGCTGCAGCATCTCTTCATTGCGTGTCCTGAAAGGGCCATCCTGCAGGTGGGTGGGCAGAAGGGCCTGCAGGATTGGGAGCTCAGTGGGAGAGAGGGCATGCACACTGAAATGTCAGCCTTGATATTTAACTCTAGGGTCAGGAGGAGAGGAGCCAATGAACTGCACTCAATTTTTAGGGTTTTCATGGGGCTTCTGAAGTCTTTCACTTTTAGATATCAATTTTAGGTTCCCCTTATTTTGGTCACTGGGAGTGGAAGAGAACTAAGTTATAGTTCTTCCGATTTGCTGGCCCCTTCTGTTCTGAGATGAAGATTTGCATATTGGGAAGTGCAGACGAGTGGGGCAGGAAATAGGGGCAGGAAATAGCAGGTTGGAGCCGGGGTGGGTGCGGGGCTCACTCTTGGTGTATGGGAACAGAGCAGAGCAGGCGTCCATCGGGCTTCTCTTCTGCTGCCACGGTTGTAGAAGTTTCTCATCATCTCTTCTAACCTGCATGTTCACTAGTTAGCTCTCTGTGACGTTAATTCTGTGATTGATTCTTCCAGGTCTCTTTGGTCTCCAGCCTTCCCCTCATCCTGCCCTCCCAGGGGAAAACCAAACCGTGTTGCAGACACTTAAAAATCATTCTCCAGCTGTGATGATTTTTTTTTGGTTATCCCATCCTTGTTGTATCACCAGAGGTGTTCCCAGGCCACCCCTGGGCTCTGATCAGCCTGCAATACACTTTTCCTCCTCACCTGGCATTCCAGTATCAGCGAAGTTCTGGCTGAGCTTCATAGGATGCATGGAGGTCGATTTTCCTTTCCCAACTCCATCCTGGGCCATTTGTGATCTCTCCTGTATTACTTCTGCTTTTGCAGTTCTGTTCTCTTGGCATTGTGGCATTCTTTCTCTGAATCTTAGCTGTATCTTTGGACATCCCTGAGTTCTTGCACCTCTTCAAACATCAGCAGCGCTCCAGGTTAGAGGGCAGAGCTCCTTGCTGTCCCTGTGCTGTCAGTCCTGGTTCCTTTGACATTGTTTCCTCTGGTTTTGTCTAACGCCTCCTTCTTGTGCTCTTTCATTTACAATGCTGTCTCTTAAGAAAATTTTCCTGAAAATTGTTTGTTGCCATTTTTGCATTTGTTGCAATTACGCCACTTGTGCTCACGCCTCGCTCTGTGCTGCTCTGCACTGCTCTGCACCTGCAGCCCCGTGCTGTGTGCTGGGCCCTGCAGCAGCATGGCACTGAGCAGCTGCCACCAGCACCCCTGTTCCCACTGGATATCCCATCCCTGCAGACAGCCACGGGCAGGGGATGGGGCTGTGAGCACTGATGGAGCTGAGGATGTCCCTGTGCACTGCAGGGAATGGGAACAGATGGCCTTCGGGGGTCCCTTCTGACTCAAGCAGCATAAGAATACTTGAACTGCTCAGGATCACAGCAGAAGCTCATGGCAAAGCAGAGGTGCTGCTGAAGGGCTTTGCCCAGGCAGAAGGCAGAGCCTTGGAGCAGGGCAGCACTGCTGTCTAAAGCACACAGAGCTGGGGCTAAGCCTGTTAAGAAATCAGCAACACGTGGGAGGTGCAATGGGTTTTAATCACGGGCCTTCCCTTGGGTGCTGATACTGTAATTAAGCAAAAGGTAAATGAGGGCAACTGGGGAAGAGGTTCAGCTTTCTGCTACCGTGCTCCATACCGAGGGATGCTTTGGGGGAAGCTCCCATTACTGACCATGCAGCGTGGGTACCTGGCACTGCAGGATGGCCATGGGGAGCTGGAGGGCTGGTGGAGCTCCCAGCTGTCCCTCGTGCTCTGGGTACCACTCAGGGTGCTGCACTGCAGTGCCAGGGAAGGGCTGAGCACAGTGCTGGGCAATATCAGGTCATGCAGAAGGGTCTGTGTTAAGCTTCTTATCTATAGGGAGGTATTTATCTATTGAGGGTAATTAATGCAATTAGAAGAAAGCCTATCAGAACCTGTCAGGTGTAGGTGCATACGTAGTTTAATTGAATTAAATGGGCAGAACAGCAGGCCATTGGGTTCCAGCAAGCACTGGGTTAGCAGGACACAGCTTCATGTCAAGGAGGTGATTTTCCTCTCTGAGCCTTTCATCTGCTGTTCCTTCTAAAAACCCCAGCCTGGCTTCCCCACATCTTCATACTCTGTTCATATCAGAGCTGTTCTGCACCTCTCTGTGTCAGTTCTTCATTTTGTTACCCACGTTTTCCTTTTCATCCAGCCATCGGTTTCTCTGTTGGCATCTCCCTTCTTTTCGGGGCCTAAGAATAACTGCAAGTCAAAAGCCCACCGTGAAGTGCAGAAAATCAACAGAGACAATTTTACACTTCCTTGCTTTGTTTTGCTGCAGGAGGATCTCTGTGGCGTGCTTGGGATGTGTGGCTCTGAGGGATGCTTGTTTGTTTAAAGAGGATTGTTTCTTCCGGACGAGAAAAAACATAGGAACATTTTTGCCAGGTTTAACTTGTTTAAGAAGTTCTCAGTAGATCTCTTTTACAGGCTGAGCCTTCCTTGGCTTGTTTCACTTTTGGTAAAGCTTGCATTGCTGAACCCTTTGCTTGTATGAAAGAATATGTTGTCTGTAATGACTGCAGGCCATTCTGTCCTTGTCTTAAGGTGTATTTGCTGACCATCGTGGAAGGCCTTTGGGGCAGATCCACGAGCAGTGTAGGCTGGGTTTGGGTGGTGCAGAGAGGCGCTGAGGGCTCTGAAATCACATCCTGTGGCTGTAGATGAGTCAATCACAGCCAGGTGTGGTGCATCCCAGCCAGCGTGGGCCGCATGTTGTTCTCGGTTGCTTATAGCCTTTACATCTGCACACTATTGTTAAAGAAAGCCTAAAGCATAGGTACAGACAGATCAAATAAATAATAGGCACGTTGCACTTAATTTCGTGTTTGTATTAAAGAAACCCAGCACGTTGTGATTGACAGATGGCTTAATGGCATTTGGAGTGAGGAGATGTGATGTTGTTCCCATTTCTCCTTCTTGCAGTTTCTCAGTGGTGGAAGGGCACGTCCTTGACATTACAATTCAGTGCAATTATTCCTGAAAAATTCATGTGCTTAGAAGCTTTTGTATTAGTTTCAGGTTTCAGCAATGGTAATGCAGGCAGTCCTCAAGAAACACGAGGGTAGTGTCTATGCTGAACTCACAGCTCCGTGCTCTTACTTTAGGCTTTAAGTTGTAAGCTTTCTCCATTAATATTCGTTGCAGGTGTGGATCTGCCTGGGCAGGAAACTAGTGATCACCCCTAGCAATTGTAGGAGCTGCTGAATGGTTTGGAAGTGGGAATGGAATGGTTTGGAGAGTTTGGAATGGAAGAGAGTGTGCTGAGATGGGAAATGGGGTAGAAATGGGTGCAGTTGGGATGGAAGATGGCAGAGCCTGGTCCTGCTCTGGGGTTTGGTGTGTTGGTCCATCCTATGGTGGGCAGACAGTGCAGCTTTGGGGTATGGGACGTGTGGGGATGTGCTGTGTATGGAGAGGGATCAGAGCATTCCCTTGCGCTGATCAGTGCTCCATTCATCGGCTGATGGGATGAGGAATTGAATGAGCATGTGCGCTAATTAATTTAGTACCAATGATTGCTTTGATTTCTCTATTAAAATAATTAAGTCAATTGAATACGGCATCGCTGCCAGGGTTATTCTAGTAATATTATAGGGTGCTAGGAAGTAGAAGAATCAAAGGCACATATGTTTTCCGTGTTATTTCATTGTTGTCCAAAAATGTCTCCTAATGATTTGTTTCCTCTTCCAATCGGGCAAATCACAAATGGGAGATAAGTAGATCAGATTAGATGGGCCAGTGGGCCTTTATGTGCTGGGAATTCACTTTGCCTGCTGGACTGGAAGAGCAGTGGCAGTGTGTAAAATGTGCTTTGTGATACCTAAGAACAGAATCACTTGGAGCCTGTAATGAACTCTGAAGTGGGTACAAGTCTGAGAGGAAGCAAAGTGAAGTGGATGGAAGGTGTGCAGTGCATCCCTGTGCTCTGCCTGCCTGTCTTTTCCCTGTTTCGCCTTATAGGTGAACATATCAGTGCCTGCAGGTGCATTAAGCTGGGTGGGTTTGATGATTATTTTTCAAGCTTTAGTGGGCATCTGTACAATAGGCAGCATTCCACCAATCAGAACTTGTACTGATTTACAAGAAAAAGCAGCATGCTTTTATGTTAAATGATAAAAAGCTCCTCTAAGACCCCATGGTAAGAAGGTCAGCAGTAAGTAGCTTCTTGATGTTGTTCCAATAGGGAGAGTATGCATGTGCACACATAGCATTGCACTGCTCCTCAGCCTTCCATTTCCGAGGCGTGAGATGCTTTCAGAACAGCTCCTGCATTATTCAGTAGGATGAACCCACAGGGATGGAGTCCGTGCATCTCTGAAATTAATAGCAGAACTTTTAGGAAGTATCAAAACGAACGCTGCTCGTTTCCCTCTGCTGCAGCTCCTGGTTTCTCCCTGCACCTGCTGTGGCAGTGCTTACAGCTGGCAGGAAGCTGCCTGGAAGATGGCATCATGCTGTATGGCTGCAAGGCATCCCCAAACCCGTCAGAAGATGGATTTCTTTCGACAAATTTGGTGACACTGGGGTCACGGGTTGCTGCTGAGGGGTCACAGCCAGGGCTGCTCTCCATGCCCTGCTGCTCCTCCAGTGCTCATGGCAGGGCAGGGCTGCAGATGTGCACTCCTCACGCCCTACCCATGTTCTTTTCCATTAAAAAGCCCATCGTTCATTTTGGTTTTTTTTCCCCCCTTATTTTTTCAGATGTGTTTTCAGATGGGCGTTGTGCGCCTGCACCTTGGTGCTGCGATCTGTGTCCTGTCAGCTCACCTTCCTGCACGCTCATGGGCAGCAAGAGCTCTGTACTGATGGAAGGCCCCCGAACCACGAAGGCTGCTGCTCAGCAGATGCCTTTGATCAGCTCAGACGGGCTGTGCTGCTGCGGTGAGCTCAGCTCCCAGTGCAGCCTGCAGCCCTGCTGCCCGGGTTGGGCTGAAATGTTCCTTTCCAGCTCACAGACTGGGGACTGCAGGTGGGCACCTGCCTGCCTGGTGGGGATGGGACAGCAGGGAACGGCTCTAAATGAAAAGAGGAGAGATGGAGTTTGGAAGTGAGGAAGCAATTCCTCACTCAGAGGGCAGTGAGGCCCTGGCAGTGCTGCCCAGAGCTGTGGTGCCCCATCCCTGGAGGTGCCCGAGGCCATGGATGGGCAGCCTGAGCTGGGGGCAGCCAGCACACGGCAGGGGGATGGAACAGAGGATCTTTAAGGTCCCTTCCAACCAAAGCTACTCTATAGCCTAGGCTTTTAATGTTAAGTCTGATTGTCTAATTGTAAGTCTGCCTTTTGATTTCTGCCCTGTGTATTTGCCCCGTCAGCTCAGCACACTCGTGGAGTGCGGACAGCAAGCTGAGCATCCCCGAGTTTTTTGTTGCTTGCTGTTTTCTTCCCTTATGAAGTAAAAAAAAAAAAAAAAATACAGACAAAAGGTTTTTCTCCAGCGTGGTCGGATGTGCTTTTGTTTCTGGAGTCTCCCTGGGTTTTGTTTTCAGGCAGCTTTTGTTTTGCTTGTTCTGAGTATTGCCATCGAGGTGGGTCGTGCTGTGAACCGAGCTGACCCGCAGGAAGGCCACAGCTCCCATTAGTGCTGAGAGCACATTTGGGCAGGGAGAGCCTTTGAGGAACGGCCACTTCTCTGCAAAATGTGGCTTTTAGTGGCGGATTGCTGGCCTGCAGGGCAGCTAATGGGTCGGCGTCAGGAGCCGAGGAGCCTTCCTTCCTGCCTGTGGCATGGGCTGGGCTGTGCTGCGGATTGTTCCATCCAGCTGAAGGATGTGTGGACTCTGCTTTGTTTCTTGCCAACCCGGTAAAATTTTCACCTCCAACCTGTGGGTGAGAGTCAGACAGGCGGGCACAGGAGCAGTACAAGCAGCAGGGACAGGAGCAGCCCTGCCAAGCAGATCTGTTCATTACAGAGTGTTTCCCAGGGCATTTCACTCACACGTTATGTTGCTCATTCTCTCCTCCCGTTGTCTAGACTCAGATTTATGTGATCTCTCACAGCACACTTGCTGTGGCAGAGCAGAGCCTTCTCAGCACCCTTGTTATGAGAAGGGTTCATTCTGTTAGTGCTGGTCTGCTGCTCGCATGGGAACTGGAGCTGGGACCAGGGCAGGACAGAGCTGCAGAGATCATCCTCATGTAGGCAAGGGGCTGAGAGTCCAGGTGCCAAACAAGCCAAGCCACCTGATTTTCCTTCTCCAGGAAGCATTAGGATTAGGCTGTGAGAGCCAGCCTGCCCTGCTGCATTTCAGGGCTAGTTTGTTCCTTTCCTTTCCCTACTACTCGGTGTGGAGCCTGCGTCTCACAGGGATCAGGTGCTCAGCCGTGCTTTTGAAGAGCGCGAGTGATTTTGACAGCCTTATTTAGGGCAAGAATACATCGTGTGGGTTATTTGTGGCTATTTTTATAAAAATACCGAGTGTGCACAAAAATACCAGTTTTAAAATTGGAAACAGAAGAAAAAAAAAAAAGGAATTTTGGCTGAATGCTGCCATGGCACAGTTGGATCATGGCACAGCACTGCCGTGCTGCATTGATTTTAGAATTTATGTACTTGTATTGTTTCCCATATGAAATTTTTATAGCATTATATTAAAAAGAATATTGACATTACTTGACAAATAAAGAAAATCTTCGTTAATGTGGTTTCGATGAGTGGTTGTGACATTATAAATTAGCCAAAGGAGATGTTAAGTGCACCACAGCCAAGCTGGGCTCCTAATGGAGCCAACACTGGCTAATTCTCCTAATGATGTGTGGCAATGGCTGTGTGAATGGCCTGATGCTGACTCGATTGACTTGTGCTTTTGTTTGCATGGTGCTGGCTAACACCCAACACGGGGCCAAAGAGGCAGCAGTGCCCAGTATGGAGATAGGGCTGAGCTGTGGTGTCTGCACTGGCCTTTGCATGGGTGTTTCATTGCAGCCATCCTTTTCTCCCAGGTGTGTGAAGAGTTTTGTTAAAAGAAACAGCTTCAACTACCTCTTTTTTTTCTCTTTTTCCCTTTCAGCATCCGCAGCGTCATGCAGAAATACCTCGAGGAAAGGGGTGAATTAACCTTTGACAAGATCTTCCATCAGAGAATCGGTGAGTCGTTCTGCAATGAAATGCTGCTCCTGTGAATCTTTTAAGGCTGTCTTTTGTGCCACCTCTCTGATGGGCTGCACAGAATCCACGTGGTGAGTGGCCTGGAGAATGCCGTAGTGTGGACAGGACGTTGTGAAACAAAGGCCTTTGGTAGAATGAAATGTAGAAGGGTAGAAGGTGAAGCAGGGCAATCTGTCAGCTTAACTTCATGTTCTGGAAAACTACTGGAAAAGTAATTGAATTACTTGGAAACATGTAGGAGAAAATTGTATTACTTGGTATGGGCTTGTCAACAATATAATGTGTCGCATCAGTTCAAGTTGGTTTTTTTTTTTCTGCAGGATAATAAGCCTTGGTCAGGGAGCAGTTGTATAAAAATACCATGCTTGTCATCCTGTCTGTCTGCTGGGTGTTCCCATAGCAGCACAGGCAAGGGTGCCTGGGTGACTTTGGTAGGTGCTGGGTGAACTGCTGGGAGAAGTGATCTGAGAAGAGCTCCAGTGGCTCATGCAGGGTGGGGATGGATGGATGCAGCCAACGAGCTTGCACGAATGTCAGCATTTGGTTATCAGTGGGAATGCTGGGATGAAGAACCTCAGAGAAAGGCCGTAAATGCGCTGAGAGCAGGGTACCAAAGAGCTCCATAAACAGGAGGTATGAGCGCCTGTGCTGGAGAATGGCACAGATAGAAGTTGGAAAGCTGCAAATCAGGCAGCATTTTAGCAGAGCCGGGTGTTACAGTGAGCCTCAAGCTGTGACGTCTCGGCTCGATCACACAACTAAATATAACCATGGGATCACAGCCTGCGAGGCACGGCAAGTAATCCTGCTTTGGCAGAGCGCTGCGTCCCGTCCTGGCACCGGGCTGCAGAACGAACGTGGACCTGCTGGGGGGAAGCCAGGAAGGAGCAGAGGCAGCAAACAGACCTTACTTAGCATCTGCTGAGAGCGACCTACAAGGAAGTACTGCAGTAGGGCACGATGCACGCTGTGAGAGAGAGAGAGAAGTGAGGGTGGGCAGTCTTAAGAAAGAGAGAAAGGTGGTTGCAGAAGTGGTGAGGACAGTTTGATTTCCAGAGGCTTAATGTGATTAAAATATGTGTTGGTTTTTGATAATTAACGGGTGTAAAGCAGTGCAATGGATGTAATGAGCAGCTTGTGATGTCTTTGTCAAGTGGATTTTAGGAGCGGGTTGCAGTAAGTCTGCAGTGATGGCACAACAGCTCTTGTCTTGCAAAATGGGGACAAGACCATAAGATGGGCTGGGAAGGAGAGGAGCTCAGTGCATCTCTTCCTGCCTGAAGGAGAGAATGTGATGAGCAGGTGCTGGGAGCAAGGGGCTGCTGTTCCCCATTTCCTAGTGGTACTGGTGTCCCGTGGCGTTGCACCTATGTGGTGCATGCAGGGATTTCTCATTTGCTTGTGCTGACATCTTTCAGCATGTGCGGTCTCTGCTGAAGCACTGATGTCTTGCTATAGCCTTGCAGTTGCAAAATAAGTGGAATTTTAAGTAACCTCATAAGCGTTGGCTCAAACTGTTTGTTTCTCATTGTTGGCAATGAAATGAAGAAGTCTTTTTAAAAATAAAATAAAAAATGAATTTGAGTGGAACGGCTTGTATGTAATGGATATTTGTATTTATGTAATTGAATACTTTTCATTAACAGTTGATTCCAGAGGATAGAGAAGACGGTTGCAGTTATTCTGATAAGTCACAGCAATTACAGTTAGGTAACTGACCCTGGAAGAAATGAAAGATTTTATCTCCTTATTTTCCCCACTCTGATAGCTGCCAGAAGTGGAACTGTGGAGCCTGGGCTGTCGTTAGGGATTAGCTTTTCCCATTACTGGAGATGCACAGCTTGCAGATGTGCAGAGCTCTCCTCCTCTCTGTGGTGCAGTCCCAGATACGAAGGCCAGCTGTGCACATGGGGCTGGAGCTTGGAGGTGGCTCCTTTGGAGGGAAGGTTTAGGAGGGAAGGAGGAAAGATGGAATAAGACTGTTTTTAACAGAAGACTTTGCATTGCACTTGAAAACGTTGTATTCCTGTACCGTGGTGGCTCATTTAAATTTTATTGCGTTTTCTAGCTTGTTCTTTGCCGTTAAATCTGTACTGTTTCCATGCATTAGCATAATAACTTGTGGTGAAGCACCCTCAGTTGTAGGCAGGCATTATGCACAGTGCTGTAAGATCAGTAGGGTGTGGTGATGGGAAGCTTGATCACCTTGCCCTGGCATTGCTGCTGTGAGGTGTGCGGGCAGCTTGGTTGGGTCAGGCCCAGCCTGCAGGGAGCATCACTGACAGACTTGCTGCTTCATGCCTCATCTGAGAGCCTGCTGCTCTAGAATGCTTTCCTTTATGCACTCATTGTAAAGCTTCATCCAGCGACCTCCCTTTGCTTTGGCAGGCAGTGCAGATGAGGACCGTTCCGTTTTCTTTTCTTTTTTTCCCCAGACCACAGCTCTTTCTTACAGCTCCAGTTCCCAGTTTGTTCCGTTTTTCAGTATCCTCCTTTCCAATGGAAAAGGAGCAGAGCGTTGATCACTTGTCTGCTGTCGCTGTGTGCATGGAGTCCCAGCCGGCGATGCTTTCCTGCCACCAAGCCTTGTGGTGACACTGGCCTTACTTACCAGCTGCATGTGCTGCTGATCTCTGATGGCCGTTTGCAGGAGGGCTCCTCCAGAACGGTCATGAACTCTCTAAGAATTACAGAATGAGTCAGAGACGAAGTGCTGCCCTGCAGCCCCACAGCCGACTGCTCCTGCAGAAGCTGCTTCCTCCACAGCAGAAGCTTCTTGGGGAAGTACAGCATGTCTCGGAGCACAGTACATAACCACCTTAGCTAATTTTTTTTTTTTCTACCACATCCTGTTTGCTACAACACCAGATTATGGGTTTGCTTTGGAGAGGGGGGGAGGGAGCCATTTATTTATTTATTTACTATCCCAATATCTGTAATTAACACGTGGAATCCACTCTGCTTCTTGACTGTGTTAAAACTGTACGTGAAATCCTTCCAGGGCTGTGCTGAGCTGCAGGGCAGGCGTGCTGAAAGCAAACTGCTTGCAGAGGGCAGTTTGGAAATGAGCAGCAATGGGTGTAGCTGGTGGGAGAGTCAGGGTCTGCTGCAACACGTGTGGCTGCTGGGCATTGAAGACAGAAGTTGGGTCATAGTATTGCTTTAGAAGGGGATTACTGGGGTTATTAAGGTGCATTTGCTTGGACCAGTTTTATTTTTTTGTTCACTGTTTGATTGTGGGATTTTGTACAGCTTGCATCTACCTGGTAGGTGAGAAACAGAGCTGAACAGAGGCATGAAGCATCATAGAATGGCCTGGGTTGAAAAGGACCACAGTGATCATTTAGTTTCAACCCCCTGCTGTGTGCAGGGTCACCAACCAGCAGCCCAGGCTGCCCAGAGCCACATCCAGCCTGGCCTTGAGTGCCTCCAGAGATGGGGCATCCACAGCCTCCTTGGGCAACCTGTTCCAGTGCCTCACCACCCTCTGGGTGAAAAACTTCCTCCTAATATCTAACCTAAACCTCCTCTGTCTCAGTTTATAACCATTCCCCCTTGTCCTGCATCCTGCAGTTCCAGTTCAGCTTAGCCAGGGGTTTCTGGCCTGGTTTGCAGGCTGGTGGGATGTGGGAGTTTGCCTGCAGCCACCTCAGTTGTCACCTGCACAGAGCTGGTGGGTTTGGGTTGGTGAGAAGTGAGAACCAAATATATTCTAGCAGTTCCAGCAGCTGCTAATACTGCAGTATGAGTGAGTGTAAACTTCCTTTAATTTCTGTTCTGTGCTTTCCAACCAGCTAGCTGCAGCAGGAGGTGTCCCAGCCCAGGTGAGCATTGCCATCCACACCAGAGCTGCTTCCTGCACATGCAGCTCCTGCTTGGTGCCCTGTGCATTCAGCTGCTCCCTCCCGCTGCTGCATCTCTGTGTCTTTGGGTCTCTTTGCAGCTGAGCATTCGGTCCGTTTCAGAGTTCCTTCTGCACAGCCCAACCTGCAGCAGCAGGGAGGGGACTTTCTGGAGTGAGAGAGAAGCGTTGTGCTGACCTTCTGCTCTGTGTTTCCTGCAGCTCTCTCACTGACAGCTCTGTTGAGAAATAATAAAAAAGAAATAGGGTCAGAACAGCCAAAGCACCGTGGTTTTTGTTTGTGTGTTTGTTTTTTGGTGCAAGGAATCACGCTTTCTGTCCCTTGTTTCTCTGGTTAGGGACCCATTGTTTGCATTAATTCAGAATTTCGGTGCTGCTGATGAGATGGATCTGGAGTTAAAACGTGTTGAGAAAAACATCCTTGCTCTTCCTCTTTCTGTGGTGCAGTGTGGCAGCTCAGCACACTGCGCTCCCTGATGCCTAAAAATAACAGGCTTGGAGAAGCACCTCCCCGAAGCGTTATTGAAGCTATTGTTTAATTTAAGTGTAAGATCTATGTGTCATTGGCATTTTCAACTAACGAAACAGTCCTCTGAGGAAATAACAATGAAAGCAATAAAGCTTGGTTGGGAGTAGAGAAAGTCAGCGAAGCTTTGGGCTGCTGGATGGGCACGGATGGTAAGGTTAGGGCAGGGCTGGGTGCGTGGAGCAGCACCAGCGATGGGTGGGCATGAGAAGGGGGCTTGGGACTGGAAAATGCTGTGTGCACAGCAAGGCTTTCTGCAGGAGCAAGGAGGCAGGCGGTGTATGAAAGCGGTTTGTTTTATTTTTCGGGACGTTCCGTTTCTGACCCAGAGAAGCCAGCCGCCATGCAGAAGTGGGCACCATCAAAATGGGGAAGTGAGCGGCTGAACGAGAGATGGTGTTTGAAATGCTCTTCTAAGAGGGATCTTCTATTCTTGTGTCTCCTTGTTGTCAGTTCAAGTGCAGGCTAAAACCTGGATCGTGGATGGCGTGCAGGATTCCCGTATGGGTTTGGTGAGCGCGTGCTTTCCTTGCGCAGTGCCTCCAGTGGGTTCAAAACAACGCCAAGAGCAAACCACAAGGAAATGTCAGA